GTCAACTCTCCAAACCAGAAGTGCAGAAAGCTCTGTTCTGTACCATGGACAGGTAGCGTTGATGGGTGGAGAGGAGGTGAGGTGCAGCGAGGGTTTGCTGGACAAATGTCAGCACCCAGACAGCTGGGTGCACACCTTTGTTGAATGTGGTCTAACTGGCAGCAACCTGTGATTCCAACACCCAGCTCTTTGTGATAAACGTTCTCTCCTAAGTGAAGCTTTCGGCTAATGTAGTTTTTACACTGTTTAGTTGTAGTTCATTACATGAAGACTCAAAGTCTTTGTGTAAGGCACCCTCAGGCCAAATTTAGTTTAACATAACGAAATAATTAATTTAGTATTTAGTATTTACCACCCGTTCAATGATGTAAGCTCTATAAAAACAGCAGCCTGCTATTCTCAGCCCATCCCCAAGGCCTCGCACAAGGCTTGGTAGTTCAAATTCAGGGTAGTCTCTTTTGAACAAGTGAATTATAGGAATGTCACTATTTACTATACTTCTCTAGACTTTTCTAGACTTGGTCAATGAATGATTTTTTAAATTTTTTGGCTTTTGAATTTTGATTAGTATGTTTTCAGTACATAATTATTACATGTGGGGAATTGGTTCATGTACCTAACACATTTTAATTACATTTGCATCTCCATCCCCTTCCTCCCTCCATCTCTCAAGCACCTTTCCTTTTGCAAAAGATTTATCTCCCTGTTTGCTATTACCTTTTATTTTGCTTTACAATTTATTTATACTTTAGGTTTCTCATATAAAAGAATCCATGCAATACTTGAGATTTTTTAAAATGTGGTGTTAATACACAATGGATTATTACTCGGCCATAAAGAAGAATAAATTTGAGTCATTTGTAGGAAAATGGATGCACTCTGAGACCATAATGTTAAGTGAAATAGATCAGCGGGTGAGTTTGAATGTTCCAAGAAAACAAGTAAGAACCTGGTTAGACTTTACAGCAGACAATGTCTTAAATTTTCAATCCAAAAAGAATCTTATTCTACTTTGTTATTCTTTACAGATAGGTTTTACTGTCCTCCTCGTCAGTGTCTGTCATTGAAATCCACAACTACATCTTTTATGCGGCTTGTGGTTTCAAGTGAGTCCTCACTCACTGACAGTTATGAGCAGTGAGTTCATAAGAAAATATTATCATCACTATAGTTACCTTCACGGGGTTGGAATGTACAACCTTGTGGAACTGCAACCAGCTGGCTGACAAATAAACATACATTTGGTTCTGTATTTTTCAAGAAAGGTTAAATGCCCATTTATTTTTTTAAAGATCTAGATTTGATTAGTTAGCTTGTAGACAAGGCGTGACACACAACAGAGTGTGAACTTCAGAAAGCTCAGAATGCTGTTCAGAGTGAGATGGCAAATGATGTAATGACCTGACCATGTGGAAACCAGGTCAGACCTGACTGTTTCTGCCAGCCTACACAGTCACTGGAGCCTTACATATGCTTTCAGTACATCCTGCTGTGTCAACCTTTAAATCAAGGACTTTGTGCTATGCGATGTGCTTTTTCTTGGTCAAATGCAAGACACATATTTAGCTAGCTACTCCTTCCTAGCAGTTTAAAACAATGAATGATATCTAAGACATTCACATCCAGAAGGAAGTAATTTAAAACAATGCATTTGAGCTGCTAATCTGCTTTTAGCATCCTTGATTTGAGGCTGTGAGCAGGAGAGCAGCATAGGATACTTTGCCAGAGTGACTCTTGATTTCAGTTCTAATTCCCGCATTACTGCTTTAAAATCAAAAAGAGCCTCATGACTGCCCCACAAAATGACACTAGGAATTACGTTTGACCATATGCCAGGGAACTGACAATTGCCCTAAAGTAAATTCGGCTATGCGGTCACTGAGTGGACAGTCTGCCTCCCAAAAGAAAGCAGCAGCAGCTTTGAGAGCTCCTGAAGCTGTGTATGTGTTTCTTCCAGACAACTCTGTACTGAAGCTTTAAGATTTAGACTATCCAAAATCTGACTGACAAAGCTAAGTGCCCCATGCCCCCATATGGGTGTCATTCATCTCTAATATTAGCAGCAAAGAATTTCAGATTCACCTAGGAAAGAGGAACTTTTATTTTTGAGTTGAACAGGAGCAGATACTAAAAATGAACATGGTGATACTTCCTTCTGGAATATCTGACACAGATAAAATAGGTAAACCTGTTCAGTGAAACTATTTTGAATCAAATGGAAAGGAATTCAATGCAATGAAAAATCTGATATGCTTATAGAATTTTTACTTAGCCTCGCTCATGTGAACACTGAGGAATTAAGAAATAAAAGTACATAAAGTTGTTTTGTTGCACAATGCCACACAAGATCAGGAAGCACTCGTGGAAATTACATATGGCTGAGATGAACAGTTTGGAAGATGTGTTATAGCCCAGCATGACTAGTAAAATTGGTCATTATCCAGCAGACCTTAAGTGGATCAGGATAGCTGGACAGTTGGCACATTGGTACTTAGCATTGCTCAGACACAGATAGAACCAGGAAGATGCAGGCGTACCATCTGGTATAACAGAAATGGGGTTGAGATTCCATGGCCAGAGCTAGACATAGCTCAGCCTACCTTGCCTGCTTGCAAAGTGAGTGGCACCATCGTGGCTCACAAGTGCTCCGCAGCATGTGCGTCTCGCAGAGAGACAGAGTAAAGACTGAGAAACCCAGAGATCTCTTGTCAACCAAAAATGCCTCTCACTTTTTAATTTACCACATGAATTTGGTAACGATTCTCTTTAGAGAAGGAAGATATTTAAATAATAATAGGAATTAAGGAGTTAGAGGAAATAAAAACCCCAAGGCTCAGGATGGGTTCCGTCACCACTGTATCAATATTTGTCCGGAATTGAACCATCCCCACATTTTAAATTTTTTTCAAGCTTGTGTTCCATAAAAGCTGCCCTGTGTGTTTAAAGAACAGCGGCAAGAAAATGAGCCACATTTAGTTCTTGCTACTTTGCAATTTGCTTTTGCTGACAGTTCTCCGGTTCGGTCTTCTAAACCTGTGGCCAAATGATCATTATCTTCTTAAGTCGATGTCGTGAGGAAAATAGGACAGATCTCCCCACCACGGGTGCTGAGCTAGAACTCGGTGACATCAGCTTGCTGTTTTTGAGTTTGTCAGAAAAAACTGTGGACTCTAAAGCCTTAGGCTTAAAGCCAGTTTGCTCTGCATAGTTTTCTGCACCAAGTCTCTCCTCCCTGTTGTTCTTAGAATCACTAAAAGATACTAAAATACGTGGAACTTGCATCCAGATCTCTTTCCCCACAACAACACAAGGCTGTGCAGACACAAGCCTGAGGTAACCTCTGCCTTCCCTGCCATGCTCCCAAAGATCCTCACAGTAGGACAATCCCACCATACTGTGAAGACATGTTTGCTTTACTGTGGCCCCTGGGTTCCAGGCTCCTTTGGGTACAGCTATGTCTTACCCCTCTCTTTATCCGCACAATCATGTACATTGCCCAGTGACCTCTTCCTGTATTTACTGATTCATTAATGTGGTTTCTACCTGGAAGAAGTTATTCGCTTTTAAGTTTTTATTTTATTTTGCATTTAGTATTTTTATCCTCCCCATTACACAGGTTTTGCTTTAGATTCCTCTTTTAAAATCAGTAGACTTTTAGAAGAAACAGAAGGCTTTTTGGCTGCACATCCTATAGATTTCTGAGAGATTACTTATACAATGTCTTATGAATACTATTTTCTTGGGAGATGTTCAGTTCTTTTTTTCCTACTTAAGTAGGAGATTTTTTTCTCATGTATCTTTATGGAATAGTTTTCTTCTATCTGGAAATATCCAACTAATGGGAAATTAAGCACTATATCTGTTAGAGGGTCAGCAGCATCAGGGACTCCAAAGAACCCAAAGCTGTTGACAGATAGAGGAGAACCTGGAAACGTGAGCTGAGCTGCTAGTTGGGAAGTCTGAGATAGGAGAAGGGAGGAAGATTTTATTCTTATGGGAGCATCTGCCCAGAGAAGAAGGGATGTACTGTCCTCCAGGGTTATAATTACTTCAGCTTTGTTTTCTCAGGATGGACCTCTATACTAATTCTATGGTGCATCTTCTCCATGAGAATTTGGTTTTTCTGTGACAGACAGAAACATAGGTTGATTTTCTAGATTTCCACAAAGACTCATAGGCAAATAATATTAGCATTCCTAACTCTATTTATACAGCAAAAGTATATTGATTTTCCTTGATGAACTTTTGGGGATAAAAAATGTAGAAGAAGAACAGAAAAAAATATTTTTAAAAAGATGACCTAACCTTCCTGTGGTAATTTTACCTCACCATATATTTAAAAGATAGAACGTAATTAAGATAACATAGCCAGGCATGGTGGCACATGCCTGTAATCCCAGGACTCGGGAGGCTGAGGTAGGAGGATCGCTGTGTCACTGTGAGTTTGAGACCAGCCTGGACTACATAGTGAGTTCCAGGTCAGTTTCCACTACATAGTGAGACCCTGTCTCAAAAAAAAAAAAAAAAAAAGATAACATAAAAATTGCTTTGTTTTTTCTCTTCTGTTGGAAATATTATTGTCTTAGAAGTCATTCGTTAGTCAACAGGTCAACCAACATGAATTAAGTTCCTACTGTGTATCAGGCTTTTGTGATGAATAATGAATGGTTGGTTGGTGAATAAGGTAAAGTTCCTTGCCCTGGACAATCTCTCCTTCAAAGAGAGAAAAAAAGGCAATGAATGTATAAGTTTATTAATAAAGAGATAATTTGGGCCTGAAAAGACACGTTTTGTATGGACCATTTTAATGCTGTGGTGAGTCTTAGAAAAGTTTGGGCTTCTCAATAATGCAGTGATGAGGAAGGAGAATACTTCCTAAGACCACAAATAGCTCTGCCACTACCACTGCTCTTGTCAGGAAAGATGTAATATTCATGGTTACGTGAATGTAGTTTCACCTCGGGAAGCAATGACTATGTGTTACTTTATTTTTATTCTAGGAATCTTGGAAAATCAGGACTCAGAGTTTCTTGCTTGGGTCTTGGTAAGTACTTGGGGTGTCATACAGGGGTGAGTAAGAAGGTGGGAGACTGAGGAGGCACAAATCTGTTCCGGTCCCAGGTGAGAGCATCACCTCACCTCTCCTGAGCCTTTCCCTGTGAGGTACCTCTCGCTCTCTCTCTCTCTCGCTCTCTCTCTCTCTCCCTCTCTCGCTCGCTGTCTCTCTCTCTGCCAACAAGCCACTATGTTGCAGCGCCTCATGGGGTGCTTCAAGCAGTCTTGGAGGAAGGCTCGTGTGCCGCACCCAGCCAGCACTAGTGGACACGTTCCATCTATCCTATTTTCCTTTCACCTAATTTCCTCACCTATTTTCCTATTTTGTTGAGTATTTTGTGTATATTTATAACCTGCCTTCAACACTAGAGGACAAAGTAAAACACATATAGACATGTATATATACATTAATATACATGAAAAATTACTCATGGATGTAGCTCAGTGGTAGAGCACTTACCTAGCGTGTATCAGGTCCTGAGTTTGATCGCCAGCACTTAGAAACATTGTTATCCCTCTCAGGGAAGGTAAAATTTAAGGACTAAGAGATGGTAGTTCTAACAATATACGGTTGAATCTGAAAGGGTGAAATCTGAGTATAAGACCTGGGCAGACATCTTACAGATGTGAGAAGAGGCTGCCTGGGCATCTGGGCCATTTAGCACCATCAGAACTATGCCCGTAGTTTAAGAAAGTCTGTAGTAGAGTGATAGCTGAAGAAGTAGTGAGAAGTGGTCAGATGGTAACTATGTAAGGAGAACCTGAAACCTTTTCTGCTGGATTCTATGTAGGAGGTGGAGAAAAGGAGAAAACTCAATGCTGACTGAGATTTTTGGCCTGAGCAACCGAAAGGATGGAGTTATACTAGCAAATAAGACATAGAACTATGAGGAAAGAGAAACTTAGGGAGGAAAGAGACTAGGAGATTGGTTTTTGACATGATAACTCTCAGGTATTAGACACAAGAAAAGTTGTCAAGTAAGTAAAAGGACAAATAAATATACAGTTTAGAAGAGAGATCAAGTCTGGGAGGTAAAATTTGGGAGTCATTCACTTGTAGATGCTGTTTAAGACCTGATATGCTAAGGTGAGAACTTGCAGGGAGTGAGTAGAGATAGTATAGAAAACTGAGGCGCACAGTCCAAGACCTAAGATTTCTAACGCTAAAAACTGAGAAAGTGAGGAAGAGACGGCAAAGAAAACTGAAACTAACCAGTTGGCGTGAGAATGAGAGATCTGGAAAAAATGGAATCCTGGAATCCAAGTGAAGGAAATATTTCAAGGAGGACAGAGTAACCAGTCCTGGCAAATGCTGCTCATAAATCAAGCAAGATGAAGGCTGTCATGTTTTATAGCTGGATGCCCCCCGAGAGCCTCGTGCACTCACAGGCAGGGCTTTGGGAAGGTGAGTGAGTTATGGAGGCACTATAATGTGACAAATAGGAGCTGTGACCTCTCCTAATGTCACATTTAACGTCTGCTATGTGACATTAGGAGATGGGGCCTGGTTGGAGGTGGATTCCTGGGCCTGACCCGAAAGGGTACAGCTCCCACCCCAGCTCCTCCTTTCACCCTCTGCCTCCTGGCCACCATGATGTAAGCAGCTTTCCTCCTCCCAGGTCCTTCTGTCTGCTGTTTCTGCCTGCTGAACATAGAATTGTGAACCAAAATAAGCCTCTCCTCCTTTAAGTGGTAGCTGTTGGGTACTGTGTCTCAGGGATGAAGGAAGTGACTAAAACAAGTACCAAGAATTGGCTGTCAAGTTTAGCAACATGGAATCCGCCAATGATTTTTGAAAAGATCAGTTTTAGCAGAACAGTAGGGGCTGAAGCTTAATTGAAATGAGCTCAAGGATCATGGAAAGAGAAAAGCTCAAGACTACTCTTTTGATGATGTTTGCTGTCCAGAGAACCAGAGCAGTAGAGCAGCAGTGGGCAGGCAGGTGGGGTCAAAGAGGTAGGCTTTGCCTTTGGAAAAATGATGGCACATGTATATGCCAATGGGGAATTCTTTTAAAAAGAAAAAAGTACAGAGGACTGTAATATTGATTATGCCCAAGGAAGACTGTAAAGAGTTAACCCCACAAATGGCTTGTTTTGAGAACTGAGCCTGGCTGAACCCTAAATGTCAAGTCAAGGTCAGAATAACTCACACCCAAATTCTGTTCCCACAACAAAAACCTTCAGGCTAGAAGGACAGTGTTCTAATTAGAACCATATATTTTGTCTATTCTGGTCCTAATTTGAGAATGCTTTGCCCTGTCCTTTATGAGCCTTGTTTACATTAATTTCCATACAAACCACACATCACCTTTACCCCAATTGACTGACAATAAAAGTCAGTGCCTAAGACTGTCCAGCGCTTTTGCTGGTTGCACCAGCATTGGTCATCCTGGCACCCTGCTTTCTCTCTCCTAATTCTGTCTCTTAGTGTTACTATTTAGCTACATTTGAAAGACCTTGAAGATCCATTATTAGAGTCTGACCCTGTCCAGCTATGTAAAGTTTTAAATATAAGAATTGAGAAAATAGGGCTGGGGATTTGGCTCAGTGGTTCCACTGCCTTCCTTGCAAGCACAAGGATCTGAGTTTGATCCCCAGAACCACAAAAAAAAATTGAGAAAATATAAAGTAAGAAAAATGCTTAAAAATCACTGACCAATTATCTTCCAAGTTGGTCAACATGGTGGAAGACAGTTTAGTCAATAATACATAGAAAATTCAACCAAGAGCCTTTAAGAATCAGATGCCCATGAAATGCCACATGTAAATGAGCCTTTAGAAGGTAAACTACAATGTGCTTGTTTGCTTGTTTTTAAACTCAAGACGCGTGAGTTATAAGTATATTATTGAAGTTTGAAATAGACAAAGCAATGAAGTCCTGATTTGAGCTTCATGTTTTTCTGACAGCCTCAACACTTGAGATAAGATACTGTGTGAAAAATAGGAGGAAACAAGGCAGTTCATGGGGCTGACTAGCTTTGTTCAGAACAGGTAACAAAGCTTGACAGCTTGAATGAGTGCTCTTTGAGAACTTCTCTGAGCTGCCTCTGTAAGCCAGAGGAGACAAAATATTTACCGATAGGAACAGTGTACCAGCCTGAGATAATTTTTCAGGCTCTGCAGACCCCAGCTGTCAAATCCAAGCAGAGCCAGATTGACTGCTATAGCCTTGGAACATCAGCTCAGTCGTGGCCCATGTTCCACAGAGGCTTTGAAAATGACGTACTAAGATGTCCAGGCTTCAGACAGCTACAGATGTCTTTTATTGAAATACTTTGAAGGTCAGAGTTAAAGCTAACAGTTCTGACTTCCCTTCTCCTACTAGAGAAGATCAGCGAGGACTTTCTTGCCCTGCCAAACTTTCTTTTGATAAACAAAGACTATGTAGAAGTACATGAAAGGTGGACAGACTTGAGGATGAACTGTTATTATACCGAAAGAAACGTAGGTCTGCAAGGGGAAAAAATGGGGGGATTAAGTGACTGATCCCATCTGTGTTTCTGTGACTGACCTGTTGTAGCAACACACTGCCCACTGCCAAGAGGACCTGAGGTCAAATAAATGAGTAGGAAAGGAATAAATACACCAAAGTATGGCCCCAAATCATCCCCTCCTAGTAGAATGTGTCTTATAAGAAAGGAAGAGAATTCACTCATGAATTTATTCTTCAGCAAACATTTATGAAGCCAGGCTTTGTGCTGGTTTACAGAGGATCCTAAGATGAGCATGGCACAGAACATGTTCGCAGTGCAGTGGGAGTTGTTCTGCACACAAAAGCAAACTGTCAGTATATCTGACAGATGCCATAATGGAGAGTACAGGATAAAGCATGAGAAAGATCTCCTGGGGGGTCCAGGACAGCTTCGCGGGGCAAGTTTCACTTGACTGAGACTTGAAGGAGAGTCTAGTGCAGAAGGAGAGCAATGGACTCCAGCAAAGCAACAACACAAGCAGTGCCTGGAAGGGTACCCCTTGTGGGGAGGAAGTGGGGATCTAGCCATGCGCAGAGAGCGAGGTGTACTTGTAAGGTGTTCAGGAATGCAGGGGAGCAGGTGGGAAGGAAGGCAAGGCCTAGTCCGGAGGGTCCTGTTCACCTCGCCAAAGCACTTAGCTTTTGTCCTCTGGATCCCTGGTGTCCTCCCAGCCCTGCGGTCTCAGGTTATTAGGAAATGCTTGGGGAATGAGGCAGAGCCAAGGCAGAATCTCTCTCCCACTCCCTCCTGCCATGGGCCACAGTTTCCATCCAGGCAAGCCCACTTTTTCTTCGTACTATGTATTCTTTAACAATAGACTAGTTTTAGAGAAGTCTTAGGTTCACAGAAAAATGAGCACAAAGTCCAGTTTCCGTGTGCTCCACATACACAACCTCCCCATTAACAACATTCCCACCACAGTTGTGCATTTGCCACGGTCAGTGAACCTACACCAACACGGCCTTGTCACCTGAAGTCTACATCTTACGTTAGGGTTCACTCTCGATGTTGTATATTCTGAGTTTTAACAAATGTTTAGTGGTATGAATCTCCAGCATAACCACAAAGAGTAATTTCGCTACTCCCCAAATCCTTGGGGTTCCACCTATTTATTCTCCCTATCTTTTAGAATCCACTGATTTTACTGTCTCCCTACTTTTACATTTTTCATAATGTCACCCAGTTGGGCTCATATTGTGTGTAGCCTTTTCAGATTGGCTTGTTTCTCATAGATATGTCTTTAAGTTTTCTCCTTGTCTTTTTATAGCTTGGTAACTCATTTCTTTTGCTTTATGTTACTAAAAGGGTGGTATTCTCTGCCCCCCAAAAAGTTTAAACCCTTGCTCTAGATTACACAGAGAGCCAGTGAAAATTTTGGATCAGGAATAGGTTATGATCAAAGTGTTAGGATTATTTTTTTGGCAGAAATGTGAAGGCTAGATTAGAGGGGAAATGGTGGAGGCTAAAACAGGAAATTGATTACAAGTCAATGACTTTATTTTTCATAGCATTTT